AGTCGTGGGCCTGAACTCTGGGCCTCGATGCTGTCCCTCAGCTCTTCAGCTCAAGGCTAGTGCTCTACCACTTGAGCCACAGTGCCACTTTCAGCTTTTTTTTTTCTCTGCTAATGTGGTGCTGAGGAATCGAACCCAGGGCCTCATGCATGCAAGGCAAGTGCTCTACCACTGAGGCACCTTCCCAGTCCCGTCTGCGAGATTCTTATCTCCAGCTAACCACCAAAAAGCTGGAAATGGAGCTAAATGGTAGTGTGCTTAGCCTTGAAAATGCTCAGGGACAGCCCCTAGGCCCTGAGTTTAAGCCCCAGGTCCAAAACGAAAAAAAGGAAGAAAGAAAACACAGACTATAAGTCATTCAGTATGTTTCTCTGCAAATCTTAGGATAAAGATGCTTTGTGGGGCTGGGAAGGTAGCTCAGTGGTATAGTGCTTGCCCTGGGTTCGATTCCTCAGCGCCACATAAGCAGAGAAGCCAGAAGTAGCACTGTGGCTCAGCCTTGAGCTGAAGAGCTGAGGGACAGTGCCCAGGCCCAGCGTTCAGGCCCACGACCGGAAAAAAAAAAAGATGCTTTGTTTAGATGAGAGGTCAGTTCAAGCATTACCCAATTACAGTGAGAAAGAAAAGGATTAAGGAAGGCCAAGTCACACTGATGCTTCATATCTGTAATGCTAGGAACTCAGGAGGCTGAAATCTGAGAATTACAGTTTGAAGCCAGCCCAAACAGACAAATTAATGTGATCCTTTTTTTTCTTTTTTTTTGGGGGGGGGGTCCAGTCCTGGGGCCTGAACTCTTGGCCTGCGCGCTGTCCCTCAGCTCTTCAGCTCAAGGCTAGTGCTCTACACTTGAGCCACAGCGCCTCTCGGGCTTTTTTCTTTTTGCTTATGTGGTGCTGAGGAATCAAACCCAGGGCGTCATGCATGCAAGGCAAGCGCTCTACCACTGAGCCACCTTCCCAGCCCAAATTAATGCAATTCTTATCTACAGTTAATAAGCAAAAAGCCAGAAGTAGAGGTGTGGCTCAAATGGTAGCACATCAGCTTTGAGTGAAAAAGCCAAGCACAAACTTGAGGACTGGCTTCATGTTCCATACTGATATATGCGCGCGCGCGCACACGCACACACACACACAAAAGCAGTATAAAGAGCAAGAGCAAGGCTCCTTCTCTTCTGCTAGCCAGTATGTTTGTATCCTAATGGAGGTTGGTGGTTGGTTGGTGGGTTGGTTGTGTTTTAGTGGTCTGGAATTTTGAACTCAAGCCTCCAAGCTTGGTGAGCAGACATTTTGGTGCTTGAGCCACACCTTCAGCCCATCATTATTATCTTTATGGGGTTCTGAGTACAATTAGTAGCTCTGCCACCATTTACCAAACTTACCTCTGTAAGGAAGTCACTTACATGTAGTACACATGGTAGTGTAGGATGTGAGTGTTGATTTATAGGGAGGGCCACTAAGTTTGCTAGTTTTCCCATCATTCAGTAATCTGTTAGCGGACCTATGTTAATCTCAGTGGCTCTGGTAGGGCTTGAACTCTGGGCCTGGGCACTGTCCCTGAGCTCTTCAGCTTAAGACTAGCACTCCACCACTTGAGCCACAGTGCCACTTCCGGTTTATTGGAGTGTTTTTTTGTTTTTTGTTTTTGCCAGTTCTGGGGCTTGAACTTTGCCTGGGCACTGTCTCTCAGCTCTTCAGCTTAAGGCTAGCATTCTACCACTTGAGCCACAGCACCACTTCTGACTTTTTCTGTTTATGTGGTGCTGAGGAATTGAACCTAGGGCCTCATGCATGTGAGGCAAGCACTCTACCACTGAGATGTCTTCCCAGCCCAGTACT